GGACTGAGTCCCAAATCAGGCTCCCTGCCTGGAGCCAGCTTCTCCCTCTGCCTCTGTCTCTGCCTCTCTCTTTCTCTCTCTCTGTCTCTCATGAATAAATAAATTAAAAAAATTTTTTTTAAAGAGAACTTTCTCAACTTGATATAAAACATCTATGAAAAGTCTACAGCTAACACCTAAATTAATGGAGAAAGACTGAATGTTTCCCCTCTAAAATCCAGAACAAAACAATAATGTCCCTTCTTGGGGTGCCTGGCTGGCTCAGTCAGTGGAGTGTGCAACTCTTGATGTTGGGGCTGTGGGATCAAGATCCATGTTTGGTGTAGAAATTACTTAAAAAATAAAATCTTTAGGGGTAACTTGGTGGCCAGTCAGTTAATCATCTGATTCTTGACCTCACCTCAGGTCTTGATCTCAGGATTGTGAGTTCAGGCCTAACATGGAGCCTACTTTAAAGTCAATTAATCAATCATCTTTAAAAAAAATAACGTCCTTTCTCTCTACTTCTACTCAACATTGTCCTGGGAAATGCTAGCCTGTATAGTAAGGCAAGGGGAGGAAGCAGTAAAACTGTCATTATTTGCAGACAATATTGATTGACTACGCAGAAAATCTACAAAAATGTTACTTGACCTAATACATGAGTTTTGCAGTATTGGAGGATAAAATATCAATGTACAAAAAATAATTTTATTTCTATATCCTAACAACAATCAGAATTGAAATTTAAGAAGTAATACCATTTACAATAGCATAAAAGATAGATAAATCTGACAAAAGATGTGAAAGACTTGTGAGCATTGAAAACTACAAAGTATTGCTGAGAGAAATTAAAGAAGACTTAGTGAATGAAGAGAGATACTGCTCTCATGGGTTAGAAGACTCAATACTGTTAAGATGTCAATTCTTCCCCAGTTGATCTACAGAGATTTAATGTAATCCCAATCAAATTCCTAGCAGGCATTTAAAAAAAAAGGTTTTATTTTTTATTTTTATTTTTTGAGAGAGAGAGACAGAATACAAGCAGGAGGAGGGGCAGAGGGAGAGGGAGAGGCAGACTTCTCGGTGAGCATGAGGCATGATGTGGGGTTCTATCCTATGACCCCAAAGTTAGACCCCCAACTGACTGGACCTCAGCACCCCACAGCAGGTTTTTAAAAAATTTTTTTGAAGATTTAATTTATTTAATTGACAGAGAGAGTGAGCAAACACAAGCAGGAGGAGCAGCAGGTAGAAGGAGAGGGAGAAGCAGTCTCCCCCCTGCCCCCCAGCAAAGAGCCCATTGCAGGGTTATATCCCAGGGTCCCTGGATCATGACCTGAGCCAAAAGCAAATGCTTAACCAACTGAGCCACCCAGGAGCCCCAGGAGGCATTTTTTTAAATAAAAATTTTAAGCTCATTCTAAATTCATATGGAAATGTAAAGGACCTAGAATAGTCAAAACAATTTTGCAAAAAAAAAAAATACAGTTAGGGGATGCCTGGGTGGTGCAGAGGTTGAGTGCCTGTCTTTGGCTTGGGGCGTGATCCTGGAGTCCCAGGATTGAGTCCCACATCGAGCTTTCTGCATGGAGCCTGCTTCTTTCTCTGCCTATGTCTCTGCCTCTTTCTCTGTCTCTCATGAATAAATAAATAAAATCTTAAAAAAAATATAGTTGGAGGGATGTGATTTAAAAACTTATAAAGCTACCATAATCAAGGCAGTGTGGCATGCGCATAAAGACAGACAAATAGATCAACAGAATAAAATAGGATCCAGAAATAGGTATGTGTCTGTATCAATTCAGTAGAGAAAGGATAAACTTTGTAACAATTAGTGTTGGAACAATCAGATAACCAGGAGCAAAAAAAGTGAACTTTGATCTATATCTCTCACCATATATAGAAAAAAATAACTCAAAAGAGATTTATAAGGATGTTTGGCTGTTTCAGTGTGTAGAACATGCAGCTCTTGATCTCAGGGTTATAAGTTTGAGCTCCATGTTGGGTGTAGAGATTGCTTAAAAATAAAATCTTTTTTTTTAATAAAATCTTTTTTAAAAAGAGAGAAAACCTTTATGATCTTGAGATAGGCAAAGATTTCCTATATATGATAAACAAAAGTGAGATCCATAAAAGAACAAATTGTTCAATTGGACTTCACTGAAATTATAAATCTCTGCTTTTCACAAGACACTAAGTAAATGAAAAGACAAGGCACAAATGGGGAAAAAATGTACTAATCATATATCTGGTAAAGAACTTATATCCAGATAACATAAAGAACTTCCAAAACTCAATAATAAAAAACGAACAACCTCTTTTTTTTTTTAAGTAAGCTCCATGCCCAGTGTAGGATTTGAACTCATGATCTACTCATATAGATCAAGGGTTGCATGCTCTACCAATCAAGCCAGTCAGGTGTCCCCACATCCTAATTTTAAATTTGTTTTTATTTTTATATATTTTTAAAATATTTTATTTATTTATTCATGAGAGACACGCACACAGAGAGAGAGAGGCAGAGACACAAGCAGAGGGAGAAGCAGACTCCAGGCAAGGAGCCTGATGTGGGACTCGATCCAGGGACCGAGATCACTCCCTGAGCCGAAGGCAGACCCTCAACCTCTGAGCCACCCAGGTGTCCCAAAGATTTAATTTATTTATTTGAGAAAGAAAGCACGAATGGAGAGGGACAAAGGAAGAGGGAGAATCAGGCTTCCTGAGCTCAGAGCCCGACATGGGGCTCAATCCCGGGACTCCAGGATCATGACCTGGGCTGATGGCAGATGCTTAACCAAATGAGCCACCCCAGTGCCCACCCTCATTTTTTAAAATGGACAAAAGAGGGATACCTGGCTGGCTTAGTTGGAAGAGTGTATGACTCTTGATCTCAGCGTTGTGAGTTCAAGCCCCACATGTGTGTAGGGATTACATTAACAAATAAACAAACATGGACAAACAAAAAAATAACATGGACAAAAGATTTGAGCAGACACCTTACCAAAAAAGATAGGATGCTAAATAAGCACATGAAAAGATGCTCAACATCATTCTCCATGAGAGAAATGCAAGTTAAAAACTATGATGAGATACCACTATATACCCATTAGAATGGCTAAGATGAAAATTTATTGTCTGTACTAAGTGCTTGCAAAGATGTGAAGGGACTGAAATTCTTATACACTGCCAAGGGGAATAGGAAATGGTACAGCCACTCTGGAAGAAAGTTTGCCATTTTCTTAAGAAGTTAAAGTGGTATTCATGCAAGATAAATGAAATCTTAAGTCCATACAAAGTCTTGTACACAAATGTTTATAGAGTTCTTACTCATAACTGCCCCAAACTGCAAATCTGTAGATGTTCTTCAATGGGCAAATGGATAAGTGAACCATGGTATATTCATGCCATGGCATACTACTCAGCAATAAAGAATGAACTCTCAATATACCTAACAACACAGATGAAAAACTTTAAAACATTTTATTTATTTATTTTAGAGAAAGAGAGAGCGAGAACAGGCATGTGTGAGCAGGGGAAGGAGCAGAGAAAGAGGTACACGCTGACTCTGTGCTGAGGACTTGGAGCCTGACAGGGGGCTTGATCCTATGACCCTGAGATCATGACCTGAACTGAAATCAAGAGTCAGACACTTAACAGACTGGGCCACCTAGGTACCCCACAACATAAGTGAGTCTTTTTTTTCTTTAAAGATTTTATTTATTCATAAAAGACACACAGAGAGAGGGGCAGAGACATAGGCAGAGGGAGAAGCAGGCTCCTTGCAGGGAGTCTGATGCAGGACTTGATCCCAGGACCCCAGGATCATAACCTGAGCTGAACACAGACGCTCAACCACTGAGCCACCCAGGTGCCCCAACATGAGTGAATCTTACAGGTATCAGGCTAAGTGAAAGAAACCAGACAAAAAAAAAAAAAAAGAGTGCATACTATATGATTCCATTTATGTAAGATTTTAGAAAATGCAAACTAATATATAATGACATCGACTCAGTGCCTTGAGATGGTAGAGGGTGGTTCAGGAAGGGGAGGGAGGCAGGGATTAAGAGGAAACTTTTGGGGGTGATATGTTTAGGAATTCAGTTGTGACTGTTTCACTGGAATATACTTATATCAAAACGTATTAAACTATATATTTTAAACGTGCAGTTTATTATGTTAAATATACTTCAGAAAGCTATTAAATAAACACTTAACATAATGCCTAATGTTTGAAGCAGAAATTTGCTCAATTTGTCTTCCATCCTGGTTTAAACTGCTTCTGACAGTTTCTGAAACTGAATACAACGTGATGTTTGATGATCTATGACAATGTGTAGTCTTGTGCTGTCTTATATGATTGGCTTATTAAGTCATCAGTGGGGATTTCATTTCTTCCACTAAACTACAAAATCCTCAAGGTTAGGCTTTGTATCTTGTACTTTTTTGTATTCTCCCACTAAATCCAGCATAGTTACAGACAGAAAAGTTTAACAAATGACTTTTGGTTAACCAAGTGCATTTTGCACTCTGACAAATGTGGGGAGGGAGGGAGGACTCAAGAGAGAAAATGAAGAATGATTTTCTCTATTTTTATTCTTTTATTTATCTGGAATACAGCATAGAGGACATAGGGGGAAAGACCATGACACAAAGCTACCCGAAGGCACCGCAAGGTTGAATAGAGAGCCGACATATACCAAGGTGAAAGGATTGCCAGACCGCAAGGCAGCCTAATTTTATTCCCTTGCCCTCTTTATTTTGACTTCTAAGGTGGTGCTGACCAGAAAAGCAAGGAGGAACTCAAGGGGCAGCTTGATATATAACAATATCCTTTCACTAAATGCCCTCAATGAGCAGGTGGTCCCAGTTGTGATTATAATGACATTCCTCTCCACATTCCCCCCAAAAGGTGGCAGTTCTCTACAGCTGAACAGATCAGCAAAACTGGAAGAGACAGAGCTAGAACTACCATCAGAATCTGGGATTCCTGCCTGTGTGGGGAGAGACAAGGGCAAACATTATTCACTATAGCGGTGGGTAAAGTTGACGATCTTTGATTTCAGTCGTAGGAACTCTCCATTGCCTGTAGAAATACGTCTATTGTAGGAGATTATATTGCCCTGGCTTTGACTTTTATAGATTATGTGGGCATAGGAGATGACATAGAATATCCAGAAACAGTGCATGAATATACGGGACAGCAAGCCAAACCAGCGCAAAGCTCTGACCTCTTCAGTGACAGAGTCATTGTTGGTAAGGATTTGTACTACAATGTTTACAGTTTCATAGAAAATGATCCAGATGATGTAGGTCACCAAGCCCCTGTATATTTGGGCATATACTGAGTATAGGAGGAAGCAGCTGATGATGATGGTAACGAAAGACAGGAAGAAGACAATACTGAAAGTCCAGCAGATGATGAACTGCTTTACCATGACACTTGCACTCTGGGTCTGTAGGTAATTGTCAATGCAGTCATTCCTCCTTATGTACTTCTGTTCAAAGATAAGGTACATGTCGGTGGCCACAATGGTAAAGACCCCTGATAACACGGTGCCCATCCTGGCATTCATCCCAAACCAACGCTGCTGTCTCATGCTGAGATTTTCTGTGAAGACAAATAGTATGCAGGAGAATTCTGATTCCTGCCAATGCGGTAAATTATCAGGCTTTCTGCCTCCAGCCCCAAAATTCACCCTGGAAAAACAATAGAGAGAAATATGGAAACTAGGAAATAAACAGCTTTGGGAAGACAGAAGACTTTAAAAATGCTTGGGAGTGTGAATGAGGAGGAGGGAGTCTGGGAGTCTGGTGGCAAGGAGCAGGTAAATGAGAGAAGTAGTTCTCAACCCTGGCTTCACATTAGAATCGCTGAAAGCACCCATGCCAGGATCCCTGGGTTTAGCACCTGGTTTAGCACCTGCCTTCAGCCTAGAGCGTGATCCTGGAGTCCCAGGGTTGAGTTCCACATCAGGCTCCCTGCATGGAGCCTGCTTCTCCCTCTGTGTCTTTGCCTCTCTCTCTCTCTCTCTCTCTCTCTGTGTGTGTGTGTGTGTGTCTCTTATGAATAAATAAAATCTAAAAAAAAAAAAAAAAAAGAAAGTGCCCAGGCTCTGCCCCAGAACAATTAGAACATTTCCTGAGTTCGACCTAGAAATCAGTGTTTTTCAAAACTTCCCAGTGATTTGCATATGTAGCCAATATTGGAAAGCCTGGAGTAGAAAAGGTAGTTTAAATTATGCTCTTATCTTTTTCAGCATTCCCTTAGGCAACCATTGCTGTACCCTGATGAGGAAAATTGGCTGCACTTGCCAGACCTTGGGTGTCAGTGTCTCAGGAGAAAAATCAGCAGTACAATAGCCCTGCTGGCATGAAGAGTTGGTGAAAACAGGTGGACACCAACTGGCTTTCAGCAATCACTCCTGCACTACATATCAAAACTTAAAGAATACAAAGAAAGGTGTACTTTCAGGGGAAATTTAGAGCTGCAAGTATGGAATAGCCTAATAATAGAAAAGAAAAAGCAATAGTGAGCTGCGGGTTCAACTAAAAAATTTAAGGAAAAACACCCAACCCAATAATAAGAACAACAAAAAATATTAGGGAAAAAAATGAATAAGAAGAACAAGAATCATTGAAAAGGAAATAAAGATAAAGTAGAGGGATTTCTGATTGGTTAGGTTAGGGGCCAACTTGCTTAAAACAACTAAAAATTCTTAATAAAATAGTTTTAAAATATTCTTTTTTAAACAGAGTTTACGTATTTATTTGACACAGAGAGAGAACAAGCAAGCTGAGGGAGAAGCAGGCTCCCCGCTGAGCAGGGATCTTGATGTGGGGCTAGATCCCAGGACCCTGGGATCATGACCTGAGCTGAAGGCAGATGCTTAACTGTCTGAGCCACCCAGGTGCCCCTTAAGATATTCTTAAAAGGACAGAAGAGCTGACAAAGTACAAGGTAAGAAACCAATCTATCGGAGATGAGAAATGGGAGAGGTAAGCAAGCATGGAAGTCAGTTTTGCTCTGAGATATTTACCAATCTGAGCAAACTCTATAGGCTAAGGACAAGTGAAATCAAAGCGGAGATCCACCAAGGTGGGGAATCTATTAGAAAGCCTTCCTTGTATTAGTCGTGGCTCCCTGTGATTAAAGGTGAATCAGAAGTAAGCCTGACTCGCATCATCCCCTCAAGAGATTCAAGAAAGAGAACTTAATGCTACACTGAACATAAGGGGAGAAACTCTCTTTGAGGCGTTGGACCATAGCTAGCCTTTTTGTGGATTTGTAGCCCAAATTATATGAGGTATTCAAAGAAGCTTTTATGGGGCACCTGGGGGCTCAGTTAGTTAAGTATGTGACTTTTTTTTCTTAAGATTTTATTTATTTATTCATGAGAGTCACAGAGAGAGAGGCAGAGACACAGGCAGAGGGGAAGCAGGCTCCCCACAAGGAGCCCAATACAGGACTTGATCCCAGGACCCCGAGATCATGACCTGAGCCAGAGGCAGATGCTCAACCACGGAGCCATCCAGGTGCCCCAAGCATCTGACTCTTGACTTCAGCTCAGGGACAAGGGATCCAGCCCCATGTGGGACTCTGCCCTCCCCCTCTGCCACTCTCTCTCTCTCTCTCTGAAATAAATAAATAGAATCGTAAAAAAAAAATTTTAAGTTACAAATCCAGTTTAAAGTAGTCTAGAGCTGAAACTGTCCCTAAGATCCTGACAGAAGTAAACTCAAATCTTCTCTGGAGGAATTCATCTTTGTGTTGGTCCTCAAAGAATCTCCATCAGCACATTTTCAGGGATGATGACTACTACACAATAAAGAAGAACCAGCACACAAGGAACAAGGCACCACAAATGAGAACCAGCAGAAATAGTGGACAGCAGAAACAGAATTGCAAACATATGAAATTATTTAACAATTACAGTTAATACATTTTTTACATTAAAATTTTAATTTTATTTTTGATTATGGTAAAACACACATAAAATGTATCATCTTAACCATTTTTTAGAGGTTCACTTATTTATTTTAGTAATCTCTACATCCAATGTGGGGCCATCCAAAAATCAAGAGTTGCATTCTCTTCTAACAGAACCACCCTGGTGCCCCACCATTTTAATCATTTTGTAAAAAGATTTAATTAACTAATTAATTTTTTGACAGAGAATGAGAGAGAGCACAAGCAGGCAGAGTAGCAGGCAGAGAGAGAAGCAGACACCCCACCCCTAGCTGAATAGGAAGCCTGATGCAGAGCTAGATCCCAGGACTCTGAGATCATAACCTGAGCTGAAGACAGATGCTTAATCTACTGAGCCACCCAGGCACTCCCCACCCCCCTTTTAAAAAATATTTCTTTATTTCTTTTAGATAGAGAGAGCACAAGCACATGGGGTGGGGCAGAGGGAGAGAGGGGAGAGAAAGAGAGAGAAGCAGACTCCCCACTGAGCACGGAGCCCCACGCAGAGCTTAATTCCACAACCCGGAGACCAGGACTGGAGCCAAAATCAAGAGTCAGATGCTTAATTGACTGAGTCACCCAGGCTCCCTTAACCATTTTTTTAAGTGTGCAGTTCAACAGTGTTAACTATATCCACATTGCTATGCAGCCAATTTCTAGAACTTTTTCATCTTGCAAAACTGAAACTCTATACCCATTAAACAACTCCCTATTTCCCCTCTCCCACAATCTCTGGCAACCACCATTCTACTTTTTTTTTTTTTTCCTGTTAAGTTGGCTCCACATCCAATGTGGAGCTTGAACTCATGACCCTGAGATTCAGAGTCATATACTTTACTGACTGAACCAGCCATCTGCTTTTTGTTTCTATGAATTTTACTACTCTGGATATAGTATGTAATATACCTGGATGTGATAGATCCAAAGTAGTAAAGTGAAATGATACAGTATTTGTCTTTTTGTTTCTGGTTTATTTTATTTAGCATAATTTCTTCAAGGCTCCACTATGTTATAGCTTTTATCAGAATTCCCTTTGATTACAACATTTATAGAAGTAAAAGGCAATATTGAAAATATATGTGGAAATAGGAGACCATGGAAAATAACCTAGCAGAGAGAGAACCAGACAGAATTTCTAGAGATGAAAAACTTAAGACCTGATATTAAAATTTCCATGGGCATATTTGGTAGCAGATTGGACACAGGTGAAACTGTAATTAGTTAAGCAGAAGACAGGTCAGGAGACCTTATCCAGACTGTAATACAGAGAGACAAAAACATAGAGAAAGTGGATGAGAAGTTAAGAGACATAAAGAATATAATCAGATGGTCTGATGAGAGGAAGAGAGGGAGAGAGAAGGAGGATGAAGAAGAGGAGAAGGAGAAGGGGAAGGAGAAGAAAGGAGGAGGAGGAGGAGGAAGGGAGGAAAGGGAAAAATAGGATAGCATATTTGAAGAGGTAATACCTGAGAGTGATATTGTGATTTATTATAAGAAATATATATTTAAGGTGCCTGAGTGGCTCAGTTCGTTAAGCGTCCAACTCTTGGACTCCTGGTTTTGGCTCAGGTCATGATCTCAGGGGTGTGAGATGGAGCTTAAAATTCTCTTTCTCCCTCTCCCTCTGCCCAGCCCTGTCTCTAAAATAATGACTAAATAAATCTTAAAAGAAATATATATTTGGTCTTCATGCCTGGTCCTGGCTTACAGTTCTCCAAACCATTGGAACTTCCTAAGTGTTGAGGCTGATAAAAGTGTCTTTTGTTATGTTAACAAGTTGTCTCTTATACCTCCCTATCTCTCTTCTACATCCCAAAACGTAACTTCCATCTCCTTCCTCTCCCCCACCCCCACCCCACATATACATCTTGACTCAGTCATTGTCTTTCCCATCTCCCTTGCCACCACCAATAGTCCAAGCACCATCATGTCTCCTCTGGGCTTCTGTGACTAATACCACTTGTGAAGTTATAGTCTTGATAGAGCCATGAATGATGATGATATAGTCATATTAGGAGCTGGGGAGGAAAGGCAGTGAGTAGGTATGTAGGGGTAAGAAGTCCTCATCTATCACGATGGGAAACCAACATATAATGTCTAAAAATGATTAATCAAGAAATGTCAATATGGCAATACCTGGGTGGCACAGTCAGAGTAAGCATCCAACTCTTGGTTTCTGCTCAGGGTTGTGAGATCGAGCACGGAGTCTGCTCAGGACTCTCTCTCCCTCTGCTGTTCCCCCCTACGAGTGCTCTCTCTCTCTCACACACATAGAAATAAATAAATAAATAAATCTTTTTAAAAATCTTTAAAAAAAAGAAATATCAATATACATGTATGGTTTAGGGAAAATGAGGTCAGTAGGAGGAAACCAGAAGGTGTCTGCTTGTGGGAAGTTATGATGAGGAGGTGGGGCAGAGGACTGCTGTCTTTATTAGAATCCCTTAAGTACTGGTACTAAACACACACACAATTTTAATAAATTTATGAAAATATAATTGTTTTATGAATTCCTAATAAATCCAGATCATTTATTTAAATATATCCCATTGGTTCCCTTTATGCTAGTGTAGCTTATTGTGATACAATATCTTTGTAACCCCCAAAATGGTTAAGCTGGCATTGTGGAAA